ACACCTCATACAGTATACATAGTTATTGCAACAGTACAGCACTTGCCTTTATGTTCAAAACCTCTAAAGTTGTTCAGAATCATGATTTGTGGATCCCAAAAGGCATTGTTGTTAACATGCAAAAAACATTACTAAACAATGTTGTCTAACTTCTACAGTTGCCAAATACTTGACCTTAATAAGGAAACCAATTACAAAATACTTCCTTGTAGTGCTATACAAAAAGTTATAAAATTAAGATTCTATCAACCACTTTAAATATTTCAATTTTCCAACAGTGCAGTTTTCCACATCTTTATCACCACTGAACATTTTGAAGATAAAGTTAACAAAAAAAAAATCAGCAAATTAGATCAAAATGTTTTAATCTTTGGATCCCTTTATTCCTGTGGCCTCCATATACATATACAGACACAAATGACCAGATTTCTATTTCAGTTGCAACTTAGCATATCAAAAAGTCATAACTAGTCATTCAGAATTGGCAAAAAAGTCCATACCATGTCACTTGTGGATTCACGGTCTTAGAACCAGAGTTTCAATGTCTCCAAGCTATGGTCTATCAAAATGCAAACAACTTCAAACACTAAGAATTCTTCTTAAATTGCTTATGTCTACAGGTTTTACAACAAAGTTAACATTTCAAGAATTGACAAATGGAGACATACTTTTGTCCCAGGCATTCCAGGAGAATCATCTCAACTCATGTGCCTGGTCCATTTTATTAAAAAAGTTAATATTTATCACTAAGTAAAATTAATCACAAATTTTGACATATGAAAATTTTTCTTTTGTCCTTATTCAAAAAATATCTCCCTTAATTTGGTCAAATCCTGTGATATGCCAGAAACTACAAAATCAAGTTCTTGCAAGAGAAGTGAAGAATGTATCCAGTTTTGTATAATGGAAGAACATTTTCAAATCTTCATTACAGTCCAAATATAAAATCAAACATTTAAGCCTGAAAAGCTGCTAAAGAAAAAAAAAAAAAAGAAAAAAAGAAAAAACCCAACTAATTCAGTGTTTTTCAGCATATCAACTTTTGCAATAACACAGTATGTTTGCCGACTTAAAAATGTTTATTCTTTAAAAAATTAGTTGCTTTTTATACAGCTATACAAAGTTTGTAATGTTTCTTTGGCAATGGGATATAATGGAATTTTACAACTATATAAAAAGTTTCCTTTGCCTAAGAAACAGTATTTACTGTGTGTACATATTTGACTGACAAAGCAAGTTTTCTACTGTCCAGCACCCTAGTTGATAAAGTACAACTATCTCAAAAGGGATATTACAGGATTTCCAAAAAACAACCTTCAGTGGATCAAAACACTCACAGTATCGACGGCCTTCTGCATACAATTGTCCTTACAACTTGAAGCAATTATCAAATACAGTTTAGTAATAAGAAAAATCCTTTCAGTGATGAAAAAATACTTAAACTCCATCGAAGTACTGCTTTATAATTAACTATACATAAGAAATTACTTATCCTTCTGTCTCAAATATATTTAATGCTCACTGTTTTCAAAGATGGCCATTTTTCAAAAAGTAACTGCATTACACCCCTTTGAAATTAAATATTAAATCCCAGTGCTGGTGACAAGTATACAGCAAATTAACTTCATTCTTTGCAGAGATTGAAACTAATTCTCTGGATCAAGAAGATCTAGACGTTCACCCGGTTTCAGCTTTCTTGCAGACTATGCAGCAACTTTGTTGTCTTTCTGGAGGGAACAATAGTAGAATGTTACAATTCATTTTGCAAAACACAAAAATAAATTCATGTGGATAACAGCCCTGGGAAAAGATGCATTGTGATGGATGATTCTGATCTACTAAAACCAGAAAAGAACACTTCTTATGGTCAGGTTAGCTTCTGGTCAGAGTACCCTTGGTCTGGCGCACACTGAAGAAGCTGGTCATTTGGACTGGCACAAATACTCCAATTATTTGGAAGACTGTGAATCACTTTCATATATAAATTAAAATCTTGGCTCTTCAACTCCTTAGTTTCAAGTCAGTGCTAACACTCGCTGAAGCATGCTAAGCTGCCAAAAAATATCTTACAGTTACAGAACTAATTCTTACCAATAAATGAACAGGTGACTGAGGAACAGTGAGAAATTTGCTGTGATTAAAAAAAGCATTTTTCAGTTAAACAATTTCATCCTCAACTAAGAACAAAAAAAAAAAAAAAAAAAAAAAAAAAAAAAAAAAAAAAAAAAAAGAACTTCCACAGTGCAACTCAGTAACTGCTCACACAGTACACTACCAGGAAAAGTTTGTGTGTCTTGGTCAGAATTGTATTTACATGCATCAATTTAGGTAATTTGTTTTTTGATTTCAATTTGTTATTGATTCTGAACAGTGCACCAGGATCATTTCTGTTCCTTAACAGGCTAATGTTTAGGCTGAGAATTCAGGCTTAGTGCTAAGAAAAATGGTTTACACTGAAATAATGAAAAGATTTTAGTTTTGCAAACAGCAGAACGCTGCTGATTTACATAAACTGGCAATTAGCTTTTATAAAAAGGAGAATTTGTGTTGTTTCTAAGAGGGAAAAAGGAAGTGAACCTAACGTACTGCTAGCACTGAATGTTTCACTTTACTGGCTGGGGGTGACAACCAGCTTTGTCCTTCCTCTGAAAGCCTGGTAGCAAGAGGAGTTATGATCATCAACAAGGAATAGAAGAATGGACGTTTTGATAATGTTGCAAAGCCAAACTGTTAGTGTATTTGAAAAAAAAAATCTGCTTTTTAGCCATAATAACTATTCTCAGAACAAATTATTCTTTTTATGCTTATCTGATAAAAAAAAGTTTTTACATCAGGTTATTTCAGTTAGCAGATTTACATGATGGTTTGTGCCTAAAGCTTGAAGAAACTTTAAACTTATTCATATTTAAGGATAATAAAATAGTATATTTTTTAAAAAACACTTTCAATACTGGGTGGGCAGAAATTCTCTCTTTCCAAGGTTTAATACCCATCTGCGTGTTTTTTTTAAACCGTTTGATTGGCTGAAACCATCAATCCTGCCTTAGCTTTCCTAACAGCTATTTTATAGGATTATGTTAAGCTATAGCTTAAAAAAACAAAGAAAAAAAGTGTTTATCAGGAACTTACACAACTCATAAATTGCCTGCCTTTTTGCAAAAGGTCATCTTTATACATGAGGAACTGCAGTTACTCTATTTTTAGGGGTTATATGGGAACTGACAAGTATACTGGTCAACGTACTCCTTTGTGCCAGATCATTCACAAAGTCGTCAAAGGTTCTTTGCATGCTACAAGGAAGTTTAATTTCTCCCTCTCAGCCTTTACATTTTAGAAATACTGCTTAGAAAAATATTTCCCACTCACATTTCTAACACTTATATTTTATCTATAGATGTTTTACATTTTTCTGTAAACTGAGCTACGCAATAAATACTATAGGCATCTGAATAAAGGTAGCTTGCAGTTTTGGTTGCTGTTGATAGTGAAATGTTGCTAGGTTAACCAGAATTTTAGCACTAATGGTCCTTCAATTAAGTAGTCCAGAGCGTCTGCAAAACACTATTCAAGAAATTCTTATTCTCAATAGTTCAACCTCAAATCTAAAAGCAAGAGTTTTACCACTAGTTTCCAAGGGCAGTGGCTCAAGTGATACACTCTTCAATGGTGATCTATTTAAGAATAATCACCATTTTCATAACAAAGATTAAATATATTTTACCCTATATTCAAAGTCAGCAAACTCCCTGCCTCCACGACCTCCTCTGAATCCACCACGAAATCCTCGGGGGGCAGTGAAGCCACCTCTTCCACCTCCTCGCCCTCTTCCACCTCGGAAGCCAATCCCCCCTCTGCCTCGATAGCCTCCACGGCCACGATTAGGACGCAGCGGTATTCCAAAGGTCTCTGCGTTTAATCTTCTCTCTTCAGCCCAGGTCGGTCTCCGTTCTCTGTCACGCAAAAGGAACGAGGATTGCTTATTTGTTTTAAAACACTTTAGAAGGAAGATTGCTTGGATTAGAATCACCAGAAAGACCACAAAATGAAAATTACATATTAATCATGTTGTACATCTCCAAATTATGCCTTCTGCAAGCATTCTGGATGTCTGCCACAATTAATTTCACTCAAACAAAAAAAAAGGTACGCTCCAGTATTTATTAGTTATATATTACTAACACCATAACAGTTTCCTGTAATGGAGAATGCAACTTGTATCCTCTCCACACAGCATTATATAATGGAAACAACAAAAACTCCTGTTCTTGGCAATTTCCAACACAAAACACAAAATCAGGAGTTTGCAGTTACAGATGTTAATTTATCCAGCTGGTAGTTTAAAAAAGAAAAAGAAAAAAGGTCCTCTGTAATCTCCAAGTATGCCAGCAATTCACATCATTTTTCGTAATAAAAAAAAGGAAACAGCAGAAGTTAAGCTCTGATTTTCCTGAAATGCTGTCTTCCCATTCAAACAATGCTGTTGGCCAAAGAGTTATGTAATCTACTTAGAAACCATTACCAGAGCACTTTCATGATTGATTTAAAGTGGTAATTCAGTAACAACAACAACAAACTGGAAAGGAGATTCTGCAATGTGCATTTAATTCTAGAAGCACGTTTCCAAGCATTTTAAATGTCTTGCTATCAATGTATTACGCTCGCAAAGAATTGTTTTTAGTTTTTGTCTGTTGCACGTGGATCTAACCTTTGCTCATTTTCCATCTAGAGTCAGTTGTAATGAGTAGTGCTGACAGTACCTTATGACAAAAGCATGCATTAAGCAGCTGAAGCAGCTTCCCATTATGAGCCATACCTATTGTCATCACAGGAGATGTTATCAAAGAAGGATTTGGTTTTGTCGTAGTAGCAGTTGGGTCCAAGTGGATCTTCCTCATCTGCATTCCCTTCGCTATTTTGGGTGTCAACACCTGAGTCACCTTTGTCTTCTCCATTTACAGGCTTCTCTGGTTTATCAAGTTTATCTTCTGGAAAACAAAAATAATCAAAAGTCTTCCAGCCAATCAGCCTAAACAAAATAGCAACGTTAATTTGTTCCAAGACACAAACGCACAAAGTACAGTATATTGAACTTCTACAATATAAAACAGTCTCCTAAAGTTGAACGTGAGTGTCAGATTATCTGACTTGCAAATTAGGACGTTTTGCTTCTGCGTCTGGAGGTGTGACAGGTTGTGGTAGAATGGATATGGTAGCTCTCTCTTTTCCAGGCTTAAAGCCTTACTGTCATCCCTCATGCAAAAGCAATTCCATGGTTTTGCTCATCCCTGTTACCCTTCCTCTGTGTTTTCCATCACTCCTGTCTCCCTTTTGAGACACAGAGCCAACATTCAAGATGCCACACCACGGACCTAAAGGCATATTCCTTTCCTAATAATAACTGAAGTTCTCTTGCTGTGATTGATAGTCAATCATTTTATTGGTACTGACAAACAAGCTCACAGTTCCACAGAACTACCCGTCCTGATCTTAAAGTCTCATTTTTAAGTGTTCACAGCTCAAATCTCGGTGTCGTGTAAACTTTGGCTTTCTCCCTCATCCACTGCACAACATGCATTAAGTTTACAATTAGCTACTCTTAAAGAGAAAAAAAACAAAATGAATGAAAAACAAAACATGAATTTACCATCCACTTTGTCTCATGAGGTCTTTCTATAATTCTTCATGGTTAGCTTTCCTCTTTACTACTCTGAGTAATTTAGTGTCAACAGCAAATGTTGTATTATTAAAAAACGATCCAGAAAAGAGGTGAGCACCAGAGAATAACTCCTATGGGACTCTACTGGTGGCTTTTCTCTGCACTATAATCTATTTATTCCTACCCTTTGGCCAATCATTTACTCATATAGGAAACCTTCTCTTTTATCCTGTAGCAATTTTGTCCAGAAACTGTAGCAGCAAAGTAACGAACAAGTGGCTGATCACAAGACAGTGAGGTAATTAAAACAAAAGACAAAACAGTCTTGGCAGCGTGGATCTGAACTACTCTCTTTCTTTGGAAAAGCAAGAAATACCAGATTTTATAGACTGAAACCCTCATGCATGTTCCAACAAAGTTCTGATCCCAAACTAGAACTTTTATGACTACTTTTGGTCTATTAATAATTGAAAACAAAGATGGATTTTCCCTTACTTCATCTTTTCTAGAACTCACTCCAGAAAATACACTCACTATTGGGACTTCTGCTCAAGTAATATGCGTTTTTAACCAACAGACTTGTTAAAGCACGATGTGTGATATTTGCTAGTCAGAATTCTTTCAAAACCCAGACTTAAATATTGATCCAAGTATTTAACGAATTAAATGAAGAACTGATCCCAGTTTCCTTGTCCATTGATTTTTTTTTCCAGCTGCTAACAAGATTTGGTAGGACAGGCCTTTTAAAAGTTTTTCTCCAAGCGTTAACATTTATAAGGCGTATCTTGCTGTTTTTCCCCCATGCTCAAATCTAAAGGAAAAGTTAATTTACCTTTTAATTTAAGTTTATTATGAAATTCTCTATCAATTTCCTCCTTGTTGAATTGCGCATTTGCACTTTCGAAGTCAAAGTCCTTCTCGAACTTCATTGGACCATCCCTCCTAATACCAAATCTTCCTCGGCCCCCTCGGTGACCTCCACGGCCTCTCCGTGCTGCAGGTCCACCTGGAACTGAAAATTGAGAAATTCTCTTTTTTTTTTCCAAATTCCTCGGGTAACAGGCTGGGACTTCATGTGTCCTCTTCCTGCATTTCTGCTGTTAAAAGTCCTGTTGGAGCAGCTTGTAATTCATAAAATCACTTCCAATAAACACAGCAAGGGCATAAAACGCAAAATACACTAGCCTCAGGTACTACCTTTAGTAAGCAGAAAGACTTTCTAGAAAGTCATCAGAAGCTTTCCAAATAACAGTTCAAATGTTATTGGCTTTTCAGTCAAATATTTCTGTAAAAAGATAACAAGTTTTATTTCACACTACTATGTTTATAAATCCATTAATACTGCTTGCTCTTGTATTTTTATTCTAATCACTTGCAGTGATTGGAACCAGTACAACCACTGGTCTAATGTTGACTTTTTGTGCTTGTGTTATTCTGACCCAGAGCAAAACAATCATTACCCACTAGAAACAATTATGTGAAAGCATTCTAAGCATGTGTTCGATTTTATCATAATCTCAACTGCAAGTTTTCTTGACTAAGATTTCTGAACATTAGAAACAAAGTTTTACTGCTTTGAAATTATATACAATACTGTATGTCAGCAGACTTTTTAAAAGTTAGTGAATAAAGTCTGAAACTAGAAGTCTGAAAACAATAACTATTTCTCAAAACAAGATTTACCAATTTGCCGTTTGTTTTCATTTCTGAGTTCATTTTCTGATCTTGAAACCTTGTGTGCTTCAGCTAAAGTTGGAAATAAAAAGATGATTTGTTTATCCAATTAGGTATTTTCTACCATACTTATGTATTTAGCTATATAGTTCAGATTTCCAAAAAAAAATCCAAGGCTATGAAAGTAAAACATGAATTTAACTTCTTGAAAGAAAAAAAATACTGGAATATGTTTGGCAAAAAGAAAAAAAAGAAAAAAGAAAAGAGTTACAATCCAGGTCTCTGCTGGCCAGTCTACTAGTAACAGACAGCAGGAAGACTCCTACACATCACCCTTAAGACAGAGCTGGAACAGCTCTGTACAGAATAAAATAAACCACATTAAAGTTATCCAGAGCTACCTCGTCTGTGCTCCTGATTCTCTAACGATTTTTGGCTAGCAGACACCAAAGGTCTGGTTGGTACAGGACTCCTTCTCCCAACAGGCGCTGGAGTAGGTAAGTGGGCTGAAGCTGTTTGTACTGCTTGTTCCATGGTGGGGCTCCTTCTCAAATGATCAATCTGAGGGCTTGAACGACCTAAACAAAAAACAAGCAAACAAAAACCCCAAAGGATTATTTCTCATCTACAAATTTGAGTTATTGGTCTCAACCAATCTAGACTGACAGGGTTATCTGCCTTACCAGTCAAGACAGCTGTGTCCAAAGAGGAAATAAATATTTCTGCACCCTCAGATCCACTAATCCAGATTGAAGGATATTTAGCAATTCCCCTTCCCCCAGTCTAAAAGAAAAAAATGGGTAGGACGATTAATCCCTACCAACCCATCCATGATGAGCATTTAGCTGTGGAATGAAATTTTTTGATTGATAGGAGGTACAAATACTCTTTCTGCCTCCCTGAAAAGTCAAGAGGAAAGTGATTTTCCCAAAGGCAGAGATACAGTTATGATACTGAAATTTAATTTCATCTAGCACACTGTTGTAGGATCACTCTGCAAAAAAACAAACAGTGATGGCTAGTGCCAGGCATAATGCAGATGAAAGTTGTGAATGAAAACTTCCCCATAAAGTACTGTTCATACATTCCAATTTAGAACATGAGTGACTGGAGCCAGAAGCATATTTGAAATGGAGACATCTGAGCTGGCTAGGCAAATTCATAACATCACAAGAATAAATCTGCCTGGAAATTAGAACAGTAAGACTCAAGTCCCAAGAAGTAAAAGAAAAGAACAACATATTCACCTGTAACTTTCCACCTATCCCATAAAAAATTAATTAAAAAAAAAAATCCCAAAAGCTACACCTAGGATCTAAAAACAAGAAAAAAAAATTAAGCTAGCACAACAAATCTTGTTGGTGCTCTGCTGGAAGTTTTCTGGGCAAATATATGTTCATCTGGAACATGTGTCATATTAAATCTAAGAATCATACAGGTTTCAAAGTTCATCTGCATAAAGCCAAGCTACTCTTTCAGTAGAGAAACAGTAAGCGCTCAACATTTTTTTTTGTTAATGCACCAAAACTCAGATATATTTTTCATAATTCATAAAATTGAAAGCCATCCTAATTTGTTCACAAATTTCAACTTTTAGAGGAAAAACACTGTTTGCTATTAGTAAAGTTAAGTATTTTGCCTTCTAACGTGACTAGGAATAAATGGTAGCACACACTGTTTCAGTCGCAGCAACGAAGAGTGGAGAACCAGGAAATAATGCCTTGCGGATTTTGAGGAGAAACCGTAACGTGTTTTCAGGAAAGGTAAGGGTGAAGTTCCTTGACGTTTAGTTTCTTTCCTCTTTGTCACTCAAATCACAATTTTTTTTTTTTGCTTTTTATTTCTTTTTCTAATATTACATAGCAAGCTATCTATGAAGTTCCTATTACCACTGAGGCAATTTAACTGTCATGTCACTATCTCTAGAGGCATTCAAGCCCGCTGTCAGTACTGTTTAGGTAGCCCTATGTTAATAACCCCCCTCGCCCACACACACTCCCTTAGGAATAAAGGCTTAAAAATTGTAGATAGAAGGACTTCACAATTCAGTCTGCATGGAGTATCTTTTGTCATGCTATCAATAAAATTAGATACAGAACTTCCATATGCACCTATCTGCTAACATTCATCTGAAGTCAGTCCTACTCTTTGTTCTAGATGTTTTAAACGTAACGGATGTGTTGCTAAAAACCACAATTACCTATGCAGCATAGCTAGATGTAGGAAAACTCATTTAAAGAATAAATACAAAACCTCTCAACTCATCCTTAATTTTCTTAACATCAAACATTTTCATGACAGAATGGAATTGTTTGGTATAACATTAGCCTCAATTTAACCTAGTCCAGCCTGGACATTTGAAAACATTTCTGGCAACCACCTAAATGGGAAGGGGGAGACAAGGCAATTGGTCATAAAGCTCAGAGGATCATTTAGCAAGATTTACCTTGAGACATCTGCGTTTTTAACGATCTTGCATCTGTTGTAAATGCAGAACCAACTGCAGTGCTTTGGGACAAGCTAGCACTGCCTGAAGAGTCTGTTCCAAAAGATGTTAAAGAACCTCCTGCTTTGAAAGAAATAATATAGTTGTAAAATCTGGTTTAGACTTCTTTCTAGTCATTTTTTAAAAGTTGGTACTAAATGATTGATGAAGTCATATTAGGCAGTTATTCTAGAATACACAAAAGTCCATTCACCTGTGCCCTCATGCATTTAAATTTAATATAATGTATGTATTCTTACTAAAGGGGTAAGATTAGATTCCCTTGCTGCCTTTTATCTTTAAAAAAAAAAATAGCTGCCAACTTTAATATTGCAAGCATTAACATAGCATGGTCATGACACTATCTTACCGAGTAAGAAAAAAAGCTATTAGTATATATTCCCACTTAACATCTTTTAAACAAAAATATAACTATTCATTAATATCAAATTATAGCCAATTCTACAGTCTTCTCGTCACATGGCTGGCATTTTCAGGTCCAAGAGTAACACTGTTGCCATAACAGTTACAAGAATATAAGTTCTTATTCAAAAAAAAAAAAAAGGTAAAATACAATAAAAATACTCCTTTCAAACTCTGCTCCTCTGTTACCTTGTCTTACTCCAGCTGATGAAGGCTTTCATCTTCTGCATTACTGCAAGCTATCAGCTGCATTTCACTAAACAAACATACTTTTTGCTACAGACCAGTTTGTTTTTTCCTAATCTAACAGGAATCTTCATCTGTATTAAACATTTTTATGATCATAAAAGATAGAAAACACACATTCTAAAGATTAAGCCTCAAGTTTAGAATCTCCAGAGGGTTTAGTGTTTTGCCTGCTTTTTAAATTTCAGCCATCACTGTAAATAACACCAGCCAAGTAATATCCATTGTTACCATATCAAATGACATCCGTATTTGTACTGCTTTGACACTCACTAGTGCCTAAGTTTCCATTGCATATAAGGCCTCGATTTCCTTGTCTGACCTCAAAATTCTCACTTTAAGCCACAGTGATCTAGCCAGTTCATCTCTAAATGCTGAATGGAAAAGACTTAAGGTTCTTGCCTCTTTGTTTCTTTGTTAACTGAACTCCTTAGAGAGTCATATGAGCGGATTTTCTTGTTTTTTTAAATGCTGGGAACGTAAACCAACTTCTCTTTTGCTGAAGAAACTTGGAGGGAGGGAGGAAGGTTACTTGGCAAGTCTTTGAGAGCGCCCATTATTAGATTTACAATGTAACTAAAAAGGAGCAACTAACCCATCAGCTCACAAACATTTCAAGTATGGACCTCATGCCAAGCTAACAACTCATGAATAGCTGCAGAACTGTGCTGGCGCAGGGACTGCTGAATAATCCAAATCCTTGGTTGAGGCACACACCACCTGATCAGCCTAGGATACCAGCTGTCCCCAGCACAGCTATAGGGCCTTTTTGGAGGTGCTGCCTCTCTACCACTGGTGAAATATTCATGATCCTTTCCTGTTCTGCCCTCTGAGATGGGGGGCTAACTTCTCAGCCATCCGGATGCTTTGATTTGAGGCAAAAGGCTATGAAAAACTCATTATTGCTGAGCTAGTGTGGGACTGCTATAGATTCAAGGCTTTGGACCTGTCCTTAGGATAAAACAGGAATAATAAGCACCAATTACTGTTTCTAAACATACATGCAACTTAATTTATAGGAGAATACCAAATAAAAATGAACATACCAACTCCAACAGCACCAAACTGCTGCCCCACTAATGGGCTTGGACTAAACTGACTGTACGCAGGCATTCTGCCAAAAGGACCATAGGACCCCACAGACTGGAATGAAGATGTAGTTGAAGATCCTAGTTAAGACTAGAGGGGAAAAAAAAAAAAAAAACATACAATATAACGCCCACATAAAAAGCAGAAAATAGTTCTGCAAGGCAAGAAATAGAAGAAACTAAAACTTTTAATTAAATTTACCATAACAACGTTGTGGCTAATACATATAAGAAAATTTAACATTCACCTTGTTTCTTTTGATATTAAAAGTTTAACCAATATATTTCAGGAGCAAACACTGCACAAAAATGCCGAAATACCCACATTACTCTGCATTGGAGCTCAAAACATTCATTCTAGCAAAAGAACAATGGGCAGAAAAAAATTTTTCACATGTATGTATATAGTTTAGAAAGCACTTTCACCTTTCTGATATTATTAATTTGTGATAACCGTACTGTAGAACTTGCAATCTTTTCCCTAGAACCTCGGATACTGGACTCTGCTTTTGTCAAGCACGTGTAAGCTGTTGCTGGTGAACTTGAAAAATGTCGCATCTTTCCCCTAATGCTTTAAAAACCACTTGACCAATATAAGATACAAACATACCAGGGTAGGCAAGTTTATTACAATTGAGGTTGGCAGTAATCTCATTTCACAGCTCTCAAGTTAACTCTGACAGAAGCAGTTGCATTAAACTTGGCAAAACACCTTAGGAATTAGAGGACAGCAAGGACATTTTGTAAGAAAGTTTTAAGAGTTTTACTTTATGAAATAGTGAAACATTTGAAATGTATGAACTTACGTAGAACTGATCAAGTTCCTTTTGAATGCCCCACTTCCATTTTGCTGTCAGCGATAAGACACCCCATAACCACAATCAGCAAGCCAACAAATTTCAGAGGTCAAACATAATCAGCTCTGTCAGTCCATTTATTATAAAATAACAGATTAAGTAGCCTTGAAGGCTTCAAGTTGCAAATTGCTTCCTCTTCAACAACCAGGGATGTTGAAGAATCCCCTTTTCAAATAACTGTCCTTTTTAGAATAGGGAGCTAGATGAAACACTAAGTCCTAGTCAGGGAATACGTTTGAACTGTAATATCCAAAAAAAAAAACAAACAAAAACCTAACGGGGATGTTTCAGCATCTACTTAATTTGACTTAAATGAAGTCCTATCTTCCCAAGAAATCTTGCATGTTTGTCCTCCTAACCCAAGTACCTTTCAAAGGAAGGTATCAAGGTTTACCATTTTTGGTAAAAGTCATTTTTGAAAAACTGTCAACTTTAGTGTCCAATTCATTGTGCTAGAGTTAGATTTCAGTTTTGATTTTCACAGTTAAAGACATGATTCAAGAGAGAAAATTTTATGGCTCTGTGAAGTCTACAATTCTTTACTTTGCGTCGTGAACTTTACAGCAACAAATATTCTAATTTTTAGCACCAAGTCTCAACTAGATAGCACTTAACGCTGCCAGGTTATGTCTTAAGCAACAAACTTATCTAAAACCATGTTTCAGCTTACCTGAACAATAGCAGGGTCCTGTGGCAAAGAACACTGAGGCTTTGGTGGCTCACACACAGTTAGATCTTTAATGTCACTACCACGGAATATAATATACTCAAAGACTTCATCGCGAGGTGGTATAGGTCTATCAGTTGGTCTATCTTCCGTACCAAAGGAACGAACTGCAGAAGTGTGAAGGGAAGAAAAAAAAAAAAAAAGAAAAAAGTGCCCCACATTCAGCAAAAAGGTTTCAAACATACTGCAGAGACTGATATTTTTAAATAAAAAGGAGAACAAATACATTGAGCAAAAAATCCATTAAATAGGCAGCATATTCTTTGCCATTGTCAACAGTTCTGATAGAAACAAGTAATTTGACCTTAGAAACCTTAGTTCAAATTTAAGCAAATATACCTTTCCTATTCCTTACTGAGATACCACTTACACTATCACTCACAGGTTGAATGTTCTGATTGTTTTGTGGGGATAAGGGGAAGCAGCAAGGCAGTTTTTTGCTGAATTTAATGTAATCTCTGGACACTATAACAACAGGAATCCCAAGTGGCAACAAAGGTTGGTACGTCCGTCCTATGAATCAAAGACTACATGAGTTTACATACTTCATATTCTGCATTTACAAAATAGGAAAATAAATTACCCTAACACTACTAGAAACTAAGATCTTACAGATGACCTAAAGCAAAGCGTTCCTCAGTAGATTCAAGGTCTGAATCAAAATTTAAAATCAATAGTTATAACGTCTGTAACATGTCTAGAAAATTTTCACTAAGCACAATGCATTTTGCATGCTGGTGTAAGTTTCATATGATCTCTATCAAATTAAGTGAACTAACTGGGGCAAAACTGCCTTCTAAGTATGCCTACATAGCAAACATACTGACACATGAAATTTATTTGTATGTACTTAGCTGAATTCCAACAATTTTCAGTTTATATAATGAAGCTTATCACGTTTTACTCTTTGCATCACATATAATCACTACCAATGTATATGGCTGACATTGTTTTACTTTCACTACTCTCTCCAGATTTTTCCTTGCCTTAAGACTGCCAGCTTTGGGTGAATATAAATTGAGGGGGCTGGGGGAAGGCAATGATGACACAGAAAGCCAACCAACTAAAAAAAAAAAAAAAACAAACAAAGCAGAGATACAGCACCAAGAGTTGAAGTTTTGTAAGTAAAAATCAAACAATGACCTGAAAGCAACAGAGAAGAATAAGATGACATCAATTACATGCCACTGACCATCAACCTGCAGCAGCTTTGACAGTCCTCCACGACCATCTTTGCTCTAGCTTCTTAAAGACGCTTCCCTTAACTGCATTGCAAGGTACTACAAGTCATGCTGAGAAAACATCTGTATTTTGCTTTAATTCACCAAAATTAATTCTCCCCCCGTTTTGATATAAATCAACAATTTGGAGACATCTTTAGGCACTTATTTGCAGCCATAAAACCATTAGTCAAGAAAAGCAGTGCTTCTTGTATAGCTACATAAAGCCATACTGAGTTATTTCTCAGGTTGCACCATCTTCCATCATTGTTGCTTCTTTAGTACTGTATAAACAGAACTTATCAGTCAAGTGTTACAAATCTTTTGAGAAGCATAACTTAGGGATAAAGAAATCAATGCTACACTACAACGAAAAATAACATTGATTGCAATTATTTTGTTCGTATTTGTATCATCTTAAGCTGAATTTCTGTATCTAACCATGAGAAAGCCTACTCTGAACACTACTATAAAGCATGTAAGAACTGTCAAAAGGCATATGCTGTTAAATGAATTTCAACACTTGCAACAAGACAAATCTCTCTCCTCTTCTGCAGAGGAAGAAGAGAATCGAGATATTTGAAGGTTAAGAGTTTCCAGAAATACCTTATTAAGTGTTATTTTGCCTAACCATTGTCAACTGGTCATGAGCATTACTGCAGTTCTTTCTGTTGCTTCTTATTCATCAGGTCCTTGTATTTTAGTATTTTGACCAAGGATTTAACTTTGGTCTCTGACCATCCAACGCTATTTATTACGTAACTGGTAAATAAACTTGGCCTTTCATTGCATTATTTGACCTGTTGTCTTGCCAAATACAATCAAAGTTGACCTTGTATTGGGTCTCTCTATCCCATCACACTGAAATGGTTGCTCTAGTAGCCATTTTGTCTACAAAGGTCTACAAAAAACGGCCAGAGCATGAACTGTTAAGTTAATGATGTATTTTACTTTCTAGCTAAAGTGAAGGAACTAAGCAACAGTAACACCACAAAAAGGGTAGCATGCTAGAGGAAGACATCTCGCCCTTATTGATGAACTATGGCAGAAGTCTACCTTGAAAGCACTTCTCTTGTGAGTCAGAGCTACTCTGTATAGATAAGTATTTTAGTAATAACACCAATGTCACAGGATACAAAGAGGAGGAACAGTTTTAACATCCAGCAAGTACCTCTCTCCATTCTAAACTAATCGGCAAAAGAAGCTGAACAACATCCCTTTCACCTAATGATAAACAATCACTGGACACATTTTTTTAAAAACATTACTGCAAGTAACAGGCTGTAATCAGTAAAGGGATTTTATCATAACTCACCAAGGATTTGTCTTTTCCCCCCCCCTCACCAAATATTATGAAAACTTAACAAGAAAGTATTTCCAATACCACAAACCAGAATTTATTACTGACAAATTCAGCTGTCTAGACAACAACATGAAGACATTGACAACAAAGTCCATGGTTTTGGGGGAAAAAAAAAGAAATCAAAAAAACAAAAAAACACTAAGAGCTCCTACTAAGGGTTTGGGATTGTTCCCGCTCCCCACACACCTGAAACTACTGAACTGGTTTTAGTGCAAATTTCCACAAACACCAGACAATTTTGCCCAACACAAGAAGATTGTTTACCCCTGTCCTGCAGAACTGAACTCTGGAATGAGATTCAATCTTTCCCCCTCACCCAAAAGCAAAGATAACCATCTGTTACCCTGCTTTTCCTTCTAAAGCAAGGAACCAGAACTGCATGTGCAAGGATCTCAGAAAACAAGTAAAATTGGCTTAACTAGGTTAAGTTCCAAGATAAGTGCTACTCTTACTTATGTTTTGGCATAGTGTCTATTCCAATTAGGTCCTCAGATACTAGCTTAACAAAGAGTTGAACATTTCTTTTAATATTTTACAAAGGGAAGCCTCTCAACAGTTTCTTCTTCCTCTGCTTGGAGGAGGATTTAATATGCTTTGAGTCCATTAAAGTAAGAAGTCTAATATTAAAGGTGGTCAATACAATAGGAGTTTAGAAAAAAACAGCTTTTACCATAGCTTTGCATAATCAGAAATACTAAGTTGCAAGAGTATCAAAAAGATTATGTATTTGGAGCAGCAGCAGTCTTAGAGCTCTATCCAGCTCTGTCTCTTGGGGTATTTCCTCAGACTACATCCTTCCTCCAGAACAAGGTGCAGTGGTTCACATATAGCAAAATACTGAGGAGTGAGAGGAAATGAAAATAAGCAGGTGAAAAATAACATCACTATATAACTGCTACCAGAATTACACTAAATCCATTTAATCCTACCTTGCTAATTTAAACATTTTTCTTCCAATGAGCTAAATTGGCTTAGTGACTTGCAAAGAAGAAAAAGGCAACCATCACATGTTAAAAGCAAGTATTTTTGTCAGCATAATTACACACGCTTAAGTAGCTGGCTAAAAAGAAACTGGTATTTTTGAGCCTAACAGGATTTGTATACGTGACTTTATGCCCAAGTAGCTCCACGAATTTCATATGGGTATGCACGTAAATGTTTGTAGAGATTTTTGACTGACTTCAATGTTACTACTATAATACTATATAGCATACAGTATTATTATATTATACTATTACAATACCCAATAAAAACACTGCAAGTTTCCCTATCAGTTATCAGAAATAATCACCTGTTGACTGAAAAATATTGTGATAATCAGAAGCAGATCTGCGTATTCCACTAGCAAAAAAGAGGACTTTGTTCCCCTTTAATGTGAATTATTGCACATACACAAGTCAGTCAAGTCTCTGCACACCGCACCGACAGGCTTATTTTGTATACATCACATACACCTAGAAACCAGTCTCTCCCTACTCTTAAGGTATCTGTGCCTGCCTTTTCTGACCCAATATGATTGTTCTTACAAAGCTTACGTACATTAAAAATCCATCTCCGTAAATGAGTGCCTCGAAACAGAAAGACACTGCAAGTTATTAGCAGAAAAGACTTCACCTACTTTTTAGTGCCACAGTGTACAAGTTCAAGTGCTGTCAGTCGTGGTTATACTGCCCCTGGGTACAGCTGCAATCATTTTACAGCAAGAAAATTTTATCCTCCTCTGCTGTGGTCTAGAAACAGTCTGTTCTGAAACTGGTTGGACTCAGTGATGGTAAAACAAGATGTAAGTATCAATTAGAAGTTAATTTAATTTTTAAATTAAGATTTTTTTTTTTGGTCCCAAACATTAACTCTGAAAAGCTGGAAATTCAAAGAAAACATATGCATCAATAATGTATATTAAAAAAACCAAATAATCATACATCTTGCTTAATATTTGGAATTCAATCTCAGTGCTATACATGGGAGTTTTCACCCTTATTTAAATAACGGCAGACTTGAACACTTTGTGAAAAGATGCATTATCAGACTCAAGCTTAGGATAAATTTAACCAATTGCTATCTTCCTCTAACTCATGAGATAGAGGCCACAATTTTTGGTAGTGAAAGGATTACAGCTTTGTAAATAAAATGCTGGTTTGAGAACTAGAAGAGATTGCAGTCTTCAGTTGCTGTGGGGCAATCAGGACCCCATTATCAACCAAAAAAATTTATTTCTGCTAAAAACAAAAAACAACAACAACAAACAGAGTTAAACTAAATGAAGACATCCCACATGCACATCTTGATCAGCTTAATTTCAGGTTAGCCTACTGAAGCCCTTCTATTCAATAATCTGCAGTTATTCAATGACAGAGTCTACCTCTACTTTTGCATTTCACCTCTCAAATAATTTCAGCCATTTCAGTTAGGAAACGGATAACGGTAAATTGCCTTGCACTCAACCCAGATAACAGTGACACAAAGCCTCCTATACAGTGGAGCAAAACGGAAGGAATAAAATCAGGTTTTTTGTTGACTTTTTTTTAACATCAAGAATTTTGGTTCCAGGTAGCCTGGAAATACTTATTTATTCTCTTCTGAATCATGACACTATACTACAAAACATACATTCTTGAGCTAACTCGGGCAAGATTTATTAAAGTAAGTTTAATAGTTTAGATTTACATTTTGGATGAGAGTTATGAGAAGAGGGCAGTTTAGATTTATAACTGCAGTTTGATCTTAAGTATCTGTACTTCGAAAGGTATACAATAATATGACTTAACCACTCCTGAGAAGTCATGCACGACTGGCTTGGTCAGCACTAAATCTGCCAAATTAGAGTAAGACTATTACAAGCTCCTCAAGGATGGGATTCTTGAAACTGTTTTGGTACGAAACTTAATAATCATAACACGCAATTGGAATTCCTAAATGTTTATTTTTATCATAATGCTTATCTTTATATAAGAAAAAGAAATACCAGCTGTCCGTTTTAAACGGATAAATCAATTGTGATAAGGCAATTTAACCTAAAGACAACTTTAGATAAAAGATCATATCATGAAAACTAACCATCCTATAAATGATGCATGCAAGCCTGGAACCAAACCTTCTACAAAAGCATAGCATCTGTATAAAAGCAAAGCATCTGTTTCAAAGTGTAAGTACAAAAACCTCACAGCACAAAGCAGTTTATTTCTTAAATAATTATATATATGTGTGTGTGTATGTATGTGTGTGTGTATATACACACACACACATATATATATATGGGGGGGCTTAAAGCAACAGGGCAAACAACCAAGAATTTCCACAAAGACCAATCAGAGATGAAAGCAAATAAACTGCTACTTGGTAACAACTCAACAGATAAACTATTAAATATACCAACTATGTAAAACATAACAGATTCTCGCTATGCTATCCTTCACTAGCTTAAAGGCTAAGCCTACTATAACAAACTGGAAAAGAGGTTTAGAATACTCTCCGTTTCATTATTTAATTTACATAGAGAGCAATTTTTCTTCTTACCTAACAGCTGGATTAGCTCTCTCTGATTTTATACATGCATTTAGATTATTTAGTAAGACTCTACAGAGTCAAGGTCTGTAAATTAAAATACAATCGAGTTTTACAAACTCAATTATAAAGAACATATGAACAATTCTGACTTCATTTTTGACCTGAATGCTACACATTCGCTGCCACAGTTAACATTACTTGTGCTGAGAGTGCATTATCATGTGCAAGAAACAGTATAGTCCTCCAGATATCCTGTTTCAAACATCCTCTCTTTTTACTCCCCAGTCTCTCTTTTGTTCGATGAGCATATACTCCTAACTTTCTGACACGCACATTCTTTCAGCCAATACACACTCTCATGCCAGGGTCTGTCCTGAATTTTGATTTATACGGTGCCATATATCTACTTCGGAAACGAAGAGCTCACAGTCAGCCTTCTCCGTTGATAACCTCGCACTCACAAGCTCTCCTTTAGAAGATCTCGGCTGTCTCTCACCCCAGGACGCAGCAGAGTTCGGTGGTACGCAGCCCCGTACCGTTTATGTCCTCTACGCCTCTAATTTGTTAGGATACAAACAAACCGTCTTCTCTTTCCTGCCTCCCCCTCCGGCTTTCTCCTGTGTTCTTACTCTGTACTAGTTACGCCACTAAGTTCTTCATACTTTTACTCTGTTCAGGTCTCCTTTCGGCAGCTCCCGTTCCCCCTCTCTGCCCCAACTAACGCTCCCGGCTCCTTCTCATCGCGACGGTCCCTCCGCGGCCCTCGGGGC